TTAATTTTTAATTTTAAAGTAAAAAATAATAATTTTTAATAAATGTATTTACTAAAAAAATATTTATATCAATCATTTTACTACTTATTCAATATTTATTTTATTTAGTGTTAGTGGGCAATTTGTATTAATTTTTTGGTAGACCATTTGCATTGTTTATAAAATCGTCTATAATTATCAAATTCTCTACATGCATCTTGAATCATAACATCGACAATAGTCTCTTTCACCAGGAAAAAACAAGATGGTTACAGCAGGCAATGAATTTATTTTCATTTTTTCAACAACGTAGTAGGTATTCAATACCTACCCTCGTAATAAAATTTTTAATTTGACTTACGCTTAGTTTGTCGGCATTTTTTATTGACTTTCCAGCACAGATACCGTGTATACACGGTACTTCAAAAATTTTCAAAAAATTAGAAAAGTAATCCTTCGCAGTTGATTCAAAGTAGCCAAGAACAAAATTTGTTACAAAAGCTGGTTAACAGGGGTATGAGTTTCTATCATCAAATTAAAGTGTTTAATGTCAATTAGGATCAACAAGGTATCCGGCCCGTATCCTCTTTTTGAAATTGTTTTTTTTGTTCTGTTTTTCCATATACAGGTAATGGCAGATGAGATAAGGGCCAGGGTTTGCACTCGCATAGACGAGAAGCTGCAAGCCCTTTCTTCAACATTTGTGGAGCATACCATTTTTAGAGTGCCTCGCCAACTATATGAGGTGAATGAAAAAGCCTACGAACCAGAAATCATCTCGATTGGTCCTTACCATCGTGGCAAAAGTCACTTGAAGATGATGGAAGTACACAAGGTTCGGTTCTTAAGAATGCTTCTTTGCCGAACAAGTGAGCATACTGCCGACCTCTATGTAGCAGCATTGAGAGGTGTGGTCGAAAAAGCCTGTAACTGTTATTCAGAATCCTTGAGTATTAGCACAGAAGACTTCCTAGAAATGTTAGTGCTTGATGGATGCTTTATTGTTGAGTTAATTCACCAAATATTTGATGGGAACATGGATGAGTATATCTTTAGATTGGATTTGATTTTCTCCAGCGTTTTGCATGATTTGATTCTATTTGAGAATCAACTTCCTTTCTTTGTGCTTTGGGAGTTGTTTGGTATGATGAGGGAAAATGAGAGAAACTTGTACGTTCAGTGTCTTCTACTACTCTTCCATGGCAAGATGCCGGGACTAAGAGTTGATGTTGCCTATGACAATACTTCAATTAGAAGTGTGAAGCATTTGCTAGACTTGGTACATGGGAATTGGCTTCCTTCAAGAGAAGTAATGGAGGATTACTCGCGAGCACCAAAAGATGGCAATTGGTCGTTCATACGGTCTGCTACAGAGCTTAAAGAGGCAGGAATTCGGTTCAAGAAGGGTGAAGGAAATAGCTTGTTTGACATAAGGTTTAGAAATGGGGTACTCGAGATTCCAACGATGAAAATTCTAGATACTGTAGAGAGTTTGTATCGCAATGTCATTATCTGTGAACAATTTGAGAATAAAAGTCCAAGATACTTCACTGACTTTGCCAAATTTATAGATTGCCTGATTAATTCAGGGAAGGATGTGGAGTTACTTTGTCACTGTGGAATACTTGACAATTGGTTAGGCGATGATGAGGCTGTTGCGACCATGTTTAATAGGCTTGGAGATCATGTCAACCTCTCCCCCAAAGAAGACTTCTTTTATGCCCGGATATGTAATGATGTCAATGAGCATTACAATGCACCTTGGAACAAAAGGATGGGAAGCTTGAGACACAATTATTTCAACACTCCATGGGCGTTCATCTCCTTTCTTGCTGCAGCTTTTTTGCTTCTACTTACCCTGCTTCAAACTACATTTACCATTTTCCCTAGAAAATAACCTTTGATATGGAGTCAGCGATGGCAAAATTTGTTATTTCTTTAATAATTAAAATTTATTTCTATACAATTTATATATATATTGTTTGTATAATATTTTAATAATTTACCTCTCCATTATGAAAAAGTTAAACTTTTATATAAATAATGTATATAAAATTGTATAAGTTAACTAACCTTTTATTTAATTTATTCTGTATTCTGTCTAGAATGTTTGGCATATATAGACAAAGCAACTTTGTACCTGATTGACTAGTGAAAAACAATCTCCTTAGACTGATACATAGGGTTAAAAATCGAAGAA